ATGATAGTAAAAAGTTTTATTAGTAGCATATATCTATTTTCTTATAAAAATCACGTTATACCACAAAATCATATGACAAAATGATCTACATACCCCCTACCCTTAAAGAGCTACACAACTAACTTTTGTGTCTTAAGTAAAAATTTTAATAAATTTGTCAATTTCCCCCTTTCTGTAACACCTAGCCCATATAATATAAATCCATTAACGAATCAGATTTAAGAGTATTCTTACGTATATTTTCCTTAGTGAATTTTTTTTTTTTATTAATCGTACAATTATTACACTTTTGTAATGATTTTTGATTTATAAAGTTTATCTTTTACTATACTCTTTGTATCTTTCTTTTATTTGTACGTAATATTTTTCTTTAACATTAGCAAATTCTATATAAAGAGCCACTTGTCGCGAATAGTGAACCAAATCGATCTTAAAAGTTTGATTTGACTAAGTCGACTTGAGTCAATTATTAATTTCGGTTTTTTGATTTCTTTATCACGTGGAAGCAATGCACCAATCATAATAATATCTACGTGGGTACCAGTTCTGTTCAAGAAATCTAACAGTTTTAAAAAAAACCGCCTGAGTCGACTAACCGATTTAAGTTGATTTTACAAAGTATCGACTTGTATCACTAGTAATGCTATTCAAAAAAATGTTGGCATTTGTAGTTGAATAGCATCCAGTACTGTACAAGAGAAATTTTATCAAGGGGTACCGTAGGTAGCGTGTTATACAGTAAGTAGTCGTAATGTTAATACACTATTTAATATGGTTTCATTAATAATACTACATTAGTATGTTAGTTTTAACTGGAAATATATACAGTATACAGCATACATCTAAGCAGGTAAACCCATTCATTTTGTCTTCAAAAATAGTTTATAATGAGGATCCTTATCCACATGTGATTATTTGAACAAAATCAAAACTTACAAACTAGAAATTAGTAAGGTTCAATAGTAGGAGTAATGTTCAAAATTTTTATTCCAATTCTTTTAAAAGTAAATTTTGACTATCTCCACCACCAATCAGCAATCTTGCTACTGGGTGATAATCAATCGAATTAATAGCAAGATTATTGAATCCACTTCCAAGTTTTCGAATTAATATGGAATCCCGCAATGATCCATGGTGCCTAAGGTTTTCCGCATGTGCATTAAAATCCATGATTCCAATCGTACCGTCTTATTAAAACAGATAATTGATTAGACAGATCAACAAATTATTTATCTACTCAATAATTCACATAAAAAAACATACCCTCAGAACAGCTCAGAACTATTCCTGCACGAAAGGGATGGAAAATCAACTCATATACTATTAAAAAAATAATATTTAAGTTAAATCTTTACACCAGATAATGAACACCAGCTAATGAAATATATATGTGTGCAGTAATACCGTGATTTTTATGTGGGTGTGATTGTTTCTCTGGTCTCGACAAATTTCTAGTGTCCCATATTGTAACAAAACCTTGAGAACTTCCTGAAACGATTTGGTGCACCTACAAAACGATCTTTAATTAAGCATGTATAAAAAAAATAGATATAATAATACAATACGATTTAAAATATTTACCTGCGATGAATTAACCTTTAAACAATTCAAAGAATCCCTCGGATGAGCCGAACTGAATAATAATTAAAGTATTTATACGAACTCTTAAAGCAGCGATTTCAATAACATTATTCTACAAAGGTTCATACTCATAAAACTTGGCACAAGGTTTGTTCGGATTTCTATAGTCAAACATTCTTAATTGCCCGGAACTCCCAGCAGTAATCTAACAAATTTTAAGGTCAAAATAAGTATGAGCATTGGATATTTTGATGATATGCATAAGAGATGTTTAATTACTATTCGATCCCAAGACGGCCATGAAACTGCTCTGATACCAGATGCATCAGCATTATCTAAAAGGGAATCAAATATATAATTTAGAGATAAATTCATAAAAAAAAAAAAAAAAAAAAAAAAAAAAACTTTTTTATCAG